CCCCCCCCCCCCCCCGCATCCCCCTCCTGTTCTGCAATGTGATTTGTCCTTTTCATATATGTTCATTTTTTTAATTGTATCCTTTGGTATATATGGTTGTGACTATTTTCTTCCACTATTTGATCTGAGGAAGTGGGTCTGGCCCACGAAAGCTCATCATCTAATAAACCATCTTGTTAGTCTTTAAAGTGCTACATTGTCCTGCATTTTGCTTCCTCTGCCCTGGGCTACTTCCTATCCCCCATGAGAGCGCAGTTCTGTCCCACCTTACAATTCATCAGGCAAAACCCCCTTTTAGCGCAAGATACTTGTGCCTTCCGAAGGCATAATTGTTAAATAGGATGCTCCCTCATTCTGCTTCTCTAAGTGGCCCTTTGTGCACCCCTTCTCCCACATATACCAGTCACTTCTGGCTTTAAATTTATACAAAATAAACTCTGGCTAACTTTTTGCCAGAGATACAAAATCTGTTTTCTTTAGCTTTGTATAGGGCTTGTGTTATATGATATATAACATATTTTTATTACAAAAAATGCCTTTAAAATGAGAACCATGGCTTTGTGACTGCATTAAGTTAATAAAAAGTGACAGATGTGTAGATTTCAAAATAAAAATGTCAGTGGTAAAAAAAATAACAATATTACCATTGACAAAGACTTTTTAACTGTTTAAATCAGCTTAGATATAAAATAAGGACCAATTTATAACTTTATACTAAGAAAACCTCATACAGGGAAAGAAAGACATCAATTTTTTTCAAGTTTAAAAGGAAAACCTTATATTTTACAAGAGCATCTTTTTAACTGTTTGAAGATATGAGATAAACTTTGACCCATCCTTATCTAAAGAATTTTTTTCCCTTGTGACAAAAGTCATTTTACTGTGTATATGGCCAGAACATAATATGAAAAATTTAAACAAACAAACGGCACAACAACTTGCTTTTCAAAGTAATACCTAAATCAGGGGTCAGCATTGGCTGACCACCAGACATTTTGTTTCCCTTGAGCATTTGCAGGCACAGCTTTTTGCAGCTGTCTGTGATTGTGTTTACCATTCGCGGCCAATGGGACCTGTGCAAAGCAGTGGCCAGCACATACCTGTGGCCTGTGCCACTTCTGCAGTTCCCACTTACAAGGAACAGTAATCTACGGCCACTGGGAGTTGCAGAACTCCATGCCTGCAGAGCCTCAAGGTAAATAAAATATCTCACAGGCTGCCAGCAATAGATTGGCAAACTTTGGCTCATGACCCGTGACCTAAAGGAAGAAAAAAGACATATTTTCTAACTCATTAAAATCTCTCTATATATTTTAGAGAGTTTGTGCCTCTGTCTGTCTGTCCATGTGTCCATTTGTCCATCTGTGAGTTCATTTGTTCAAAAACTCCTCTTAAATGGTAAGAGCCAGGACCACCAAATTTGGTATGCTGCTTCCTCTTACCTTAACTCAGAGCAAAGTCAGAGATTGGTTGTGGCAGGAGAAAGGGATGTGCCTGGAATCTGATTGT